CTAGCCCATAGCTTCTCCTTTTCCATAGGAAACCTCCACAACCACTTCCCCAACAAAGTCATATTCCTTCTCCTAATACTCCCAAGCCCCAAACCACCACACGACTTACTCCTACACACTATCTCCCAGCTAACTCTATGATCCCTCTTCTCCTCTCCCAACTCCCACAAGAAAGCTCTCATTATCTTCTCTAATCTGTTAGCAATCTTCATTGGGATTTTAAACACCGACATGAAAAAGATGGGTAAGTTAGCAAGTGTGGCCTTAATTAGTGTAATTCTCCCACCAAGAGAGAGGTAGTTCTTTTTCCAGGATACCAATCTTTTTTCAAACCTTTCCATCACCGGGTTCCATAAACTCTCTTTCTTGGGATCACCTAATGGTAATCCTAAGTAATTCAAAGGCCACCCCGACACTTCACACCCCAGCACTTCAGCTTTTCCCAAGGTATTACCATGTCAAGATTTCAAACTAGAATGCAAATGGCACTCTCAAACTTGGGCGAAAAAACTTTTCTCGAACATCATTCACATGTTACTTCTGTGTTGTGTGGGTGTGTGTGTGTGTGTGAGAGAGAGAGAGAGAGAGAATCAACAGCTTATGGTACATCAATGTTTTATAAGCGGGAGGTGCAAGAAAAGTACAAGAGCATGAAGCAAGGAGCAAATTTTTGGAAAAAATATTAAAAAAAACATTAATACGTTAAAAACAAAAAACGTGAATTTTATGTGAAATTAAATATTTTAAAAGCTTCTGGGTTCAAATCAAATTACATAAGCAAAACATATAAGATAAATTCAAAGTGAAAGTGAAAGCAAACATGTTATGATCATACCAAAGTGCCCCAAGAACTGAATAATTCAACTAGTAACTCAAATCAAATTCAAAAACTAAAACTATCAACATGTTTATCTATCTCCTAGCTGTGTTACTTCATGTAGCTAGTGTGATGTTAGACACCTTGAAATTCCTAATCCTAGGAGGTTGGAGGTACAAAGGCAAAGGGCCGATTTAAGGAGCTTGGTTTTGTAATTTTGGTTGCAGTTCATTATTCTTTAGGGTTAGGGATAAGAGATTAATTATACTGTTATTGTTTACTTGGTGGAAAGTGGAAACTTTGCTATTTGAGATCCTATCTACAACAACTAGGGCTCCAGGTATTCAAAAGGCCTTTGTTTTGTATCATCTAAAGTCAGTAGACCATTAGTATTGCAGTATTGCATGATCACCGACAAAAGTTAATTTACAAGTTAGTAAAAGGCATAAGAATGTATAGAAAACATAACCAAAAGGAAAACTTAAAAAAGGTGCAAACCTGTGCCACCTTTTGCTTCAGCCCAAGCGCCTATACCAAGGGGCATCAAATGGGACAGATCTGGTATTTTATTAGTTGGGTATTTCTTCCAAAAACTGAACACCCAACAAGAGAATATTTTTCCTTATAAAGAAATATGGCTGTCAGATTTGCCGTCATTCATGGTGTGGATTGCTATCCTGAGCAAGTGTCACCAAAAATGGATCAGAAAGAAGGGAACACAACCTGCCTCAGTGAACTGTGTATATTTCTATAGAATTAAAAAAAAAAAAGTGAACTGTGCATTATGCATGGAGGAGAGGGAACTGATGGATCACTTATTCTTGCAATACCCTTTTGTGAAAGACATGTGTACTTATTTCTGCAAGCTTCTAATTTGCAGTTGGTGCCATCCAAGGTCAGTGAGGGAGCATTTGCTTGGCTGGAGATTCAAAGGCCTTAACTGGAGAAGCAAAATGTTATAGAGCACAATGCCTGTGGAAGTAACATGGAGGATGTGGAACAGTGGAAGGGAAAAAATAAGATTTATAAAGACAACATGGTGTCTAAAAAGGGGTGATTTGGATAAAGGTGGAATCTATACATTCTTGACTGGCTGTTCAAGACCAGTTTAGAGAGATACCCCACCGTGTTTATTTTGATAATGATGTCCTGCTTACATGAGTGGCCATATTGATGCCTATCAAAACAAATGGTTATATTGACTTTTTGCAGCATGACTTTTTATATTTTTGACATGCTGCCATGGATCAGTCCCATTTCTATAGTTTCTAACTGTATATGACTATACCTATATATGGTGAAAATGAGTTTCAATGAATACAATACTTTAACTTCTCTTGAAAAAATAGTGTGTTTTATCTATCTTACTAGGCAAAGCTTTTAAAACACCAAGTATGCCACAGATACCAACAAATCAAACTCAATGTTGCATGGACTCTTATAAGTGGTAGCATAAATTATGCCACAAAATGTTGGTTAGTAGATAATGGGATGCTAGTTTAGTTGCTAGAGCTTTATTAGCTTCTCCTAGGAAAGTAATCTATAGCCTGCTTCAGTTTTTTTTAACTTTATTTCACTATTTGATATGATGATGTATTTGGGAATAAAAATATAATTTTAGGAAGACTTCTGGGTAGTGGAAAGTCCTCTGAGAGATCACTTACCAACTCTTTTTTATTATCTCTTCCTATGAGTCTAAATTTGTCTTTAGTTAAACTCTTGGGATTTCCTAGGACTTTGGTTTTAGGATTAGGAGGGATCTAAGGGTCTTTGAAACCTCTCAAATCTTGAGCCTATTGGATGCTCTAACAGGGAGTCTTCATAGATTGTTTTAAAATTTAAACCTAACTGTTGAATTTAAACAACCAATCAATCAGGCACATTTACATGTGCTTCTTTCTTTCAAGTTACTTCATCCTCTAACACACCACAGCCTTTTCTAATAAGAGGAATATCAAACAAGCAAAACCAGCAAAACTAGGATAGAACTTTTGAGTTTTGACTCCTGGGCATACATTAGGTTCTGAATCTTCTGACTCCCATGTCCATGCCCATACAAAGCATTTCACTGTCCACTACAATTTAAAAATCAAGTTACAAGGTTTTGTTAACTCTACTAGGATAGAAACACATAATCAGATTCCAGCCCCTTGAGATAGAGTTCATAAAAACCCTTTTGAATTCCTCTCCAGTTGACACCCGGTGGGCAACCCTCACGGTACTAAATCAATACCAAGAAAATCTCAAGGCCTTTTTTTTATAAACAACCTTGAGGCCAATTTTCAATTCCCCGAACACAGTCCTATGAAAGTAATATTGTAATAGCATAGAGTCAAATAGCAAGGGTGTGCAATTGACACCAAACTTGTTAAGCCATCTCTAACTCTTATCGTTCCTATGAAATTGGTCATTCTCCAGTCTTCTCGTAAGACATTACGACATGGTATGACCATACAATGCAGATTAATGCCAACTATCAAGTTACCACTGCAAAAAACCCTTACAGATAGAAAGCAAAATAAAAAGGGAAAAAATAATTTGATCAATCTTATATTCACTCCACTCGAATTAATGGAATATGTAAACATAAAGCAACCACAACACATTTATATATTAATAGAGAGGAAAAAAAACCCTGACCTTTCTTGAGACCAGGACACAGGTTTTCTCCTTTGAAAACAACCGGCACATCGACCTTCAACTCCGAAACATTGTCAGCCCACACGAAGACCAGGTTCAGGATTTTTCCAGTCTCGGGGTCCTTATGAAGCTGCAATAATCAACCAAAAGTTGAGATGCAACAGAAGATTAAAAATAATGAGAAGACAAATTTGCCTTGCCTTGATGGGAAGGACGGCGCCAGACTCAAGGAGATGAGAAGAACCGGAACCAGCACGAATCTGGAGCTGGAAGGTGGTGGAGCAAAAGTAGGGAGGCTTTACGTCCTCGAGTATGGACTGAATCTGCTTCCTCTCAGTGGTGAGAAGATGCTTCCTTGAGATCGGTCTACTACTACTTGAGTCCTGTGGTTGTAGGGATTGCTGTGTGAATACAACGGCGGGAATTCTGCCTTGGGCTCTGTCCTTGGCAGACACTCTTGGTCCAGTGTATTCTCTGGGAATCGCCTGTATGGTGTGATATGAAGATGTCCTAGCTTTCTCCACCACCTCCACCGCTCTTCTCACAAGGCCACTTCCGGCGGCGCCCCACCACCTCCCCATTCTTCTTCCGTGTGCTTGCTTCTATCGAACGCTCCGATAGAGTGCCGCTATGCCTGCTTGTACCTCGCTGCGCTGCCCTGTAACGATGCTCGATTTTGGTTTGGTCCTTGATTTACGACTTTCCTCGGTTTCATTATGGGCTGGGCCCTGGCCCGAGCCTTATTCATACTTTTCAAATATAACGCTGCTTAACAGAAGGCAAATATCGATGTAAAAGCGTCATGTGTATCAATGGAGTTCACATCTCCGCCCCACAGCGCATCGCCGCCGTGTATTGGGAGCATCTTCCGATGATAAGATCATCGGTTCTGGTATATCATCGGGAGATGATCCCAATACACGCGGGATGCGCTGTGGGGCGTTGTGAGGCGGCCCCTTGTGGGGCAGAGATGTGATCTCGTATAAATGTAGATGTATTATTTATAAATAAAATTATAAAAAAAAAACATCTTTGTGTTTTGACCCAAACAAAGGCCTCTGCTATAAAAAAAAAAAAAAACTATATTGAAATCTTATCATTGTTAATGCATTATATATATATATATATATATTTAAAGTTTCAATCTTACTCTTCACTAATTTATTTTTTCAAATAACTTTCAAATAATAATTCTTCTTATTCTTATTGGACAAAATAAGGTAAAAAGGCTGAAGTGAAGTAAAATTAATGCATTATATCAACAAATTTTATTTGTAAATCTGACAAAAGGAAGGTATTTACATCTGTTTTACAAAACAATAGGGGAGATTTTGTTAAGGTCAAAACACTAGAGAGTTTCATAGGATTGTTAGAAAACCCAAGGAAGTTTTTTTCCTTATTTTTAAATAGAATTTAAATTGATTTTAAAATAAAAACTATATTTCAAATTAATATTTTTATTAAAATTTAAAATTAGTAAAAACTGAATTTATTTATGTGTGTTAAGTTTATATTAGATTTAAATTCGTTATGAAATTTATATAATTTTTTATTTTTCAATGGAACTTAAGTTGGGTTTTAAATTAACAAAACTTAATTATAAAACTAATAATTGTTTGATAATTTTGTATTAGTTTTATATTAATTTTAAATTGATATTGGTTTTTTGTTTATCTTATTCATTTTATTAATTAATTTCTTTTTATTATATTAATAAAATTAATTTTATTAACAACAAGAATTAATAATTATTTTTATTTTATTTAAGTAACTTACTAAATTATTTGTATTATGGTTGATTGATTTTTATTATTTTAAAATGGAATATAAATGAATTATAATTTTGAACGGAAGTATATTATTTAGCATAATAATATATCATTGAATCTATCAATTTCAATATAATTAATCTTTACTAATAATTCTAGTTTAATGCTAATATAACTAATATATATATATATATATATATATATATATAATAGTAATTAAGCAAGCACAATGCACGTGATATTTTTTTCATATTAATTGCTTGAATTTTAAACACATCATAATTAAGATAAAATTGAAAATTAACAAAAGTAACAATATGATTAAAAATAAATTCAAATGCTTGTAGGAAATTTTAAATTACAATAACACTTATTATTACTATTATTTTATTAAATTTTGTATTTCATTTTTTACATAAATAAAAAAAATATTTTTAAAATTTATTTTTATTTATTATGATGAATATATAACATTATAAATGTTCCCAAATGTGAAATAATTTTGTACTTTTTCATTGTTTGTGCTCTATCTTTTTCAAATATTTAATATTCAATTATGACATCACGAATTTCTTTGAAAAGTTGGATCATTGGTCCACCATCTAAATAAGAAAATAGCTTTACTTTCACATTTGTTTTAAATTATATATCATCTACATTATATAAATAATTTTTACTTATCATACTTAATTTTTGTTTGACATAATTAATATATAATTTTTCATGTGTTATTTTGATTACTTGTACTTTTTATTTTTTAAAGATTTATTATTTAACTATCATATCATCAATTAATCCATTTGACCTAAACCACTAACCCACAACTCAAAAAGGAAAATAATTAGATTTCTAGGTTGTCACTAAATTTTATATTACATTTCCATCATTGATAATGAATGTGTAATATTAGAGATGTACCCAATATTTATTTAGATATGTGCCTAATTTTTTTTATATTTGTATTTTTGTTATTATTTATATCTTTTATTTTTAAAAATTTTATTATTTGACAATGACATCATTTCATTTATAGGTTGGTTTTAACTTTGGCATTCCATTTTCATCATTAATAAAATTACTTCTTTCATTTCATATGTATTTTTATTTAGTATAATGAATATGGAATATTAGAGATATGTCCATTTATTTTTTGCTTTATATATTTTATATATTTTAAATTTGTATTATTTAATTATTACATTATTTATTAACCCATTTGACCCAAAATGGTTGAATTGCTTACCCACCATTGGAAGGGAAGAAAATAGTTTTGTTTTCAAATTATTTTTCAAAATATTTATTTTTGTAATATTAAAATTAATTTTGTAGATTTAATAAGAGAATATACCTTAGTACGAGATTTAATGAGAGAGAGAGAGAGAGAATAGAAAAATTGTTTTATTTCTAATTGATTTTAAATTTTACATTCCAATTCCATCATTAATAAAAGCATTTCTTATTTGTCATATTTATTATTGTTTAATATGTCGAATATATGATGTTAAAAATGTTTCCAATTTTTTTTTATATCTTCTTTTTTTTGCATTTTATCTTTTTTTTTATTTTATTATTTAATTGTGACAACATGGATTGACCCATCTAACCTGAAATGGTTTAATTTCTTACTATCTAGATGAAAACAATATTTTTTTTAGGTAGATTTTAAAAGTATGTCTTTATGTTATTGGAATTATAAAATTATGAAAATTGTCTAAAACTCACCATGAGTTTTCAACATTTCTCTTAAACTCACCACAACTTTTCAAAATGTCTAAAACTCACCATGTTAGTAAGTTTTTATTTTTCAAAACTCACCTTCTATTAGTGCACCATTAATGCTTCTTAACAGAGGTGTCCATGTCAGCATAAATACCATTTTTCATAACCAAATTACCATTGAATGGTGAGTTAGAGGAAAATTGGTTTTTTTTAGTTTTCAATTTTCTTGTTTATTTTTTGCATTTTTAGTGTTTTGTTATAATTTCCAATGTTTTTTATAATTTCTAATTTTTTTACATTTTTCTATTTTCTAGAATTTATAAATTTTCATGTATTTTTTGTTATTTATTTACAATTTCTGTGTTTTTCTATACTTTTTTGGTATTTTTTCTACATTTTTTATTTTCTTATTTTGTTTTTCAATTTCTATAGTTTCTATAATTTGAAAATCATTTTTTATTTTGTTTCAATTTCTATAATTTTTTATATATTTTGTAATTTCTATGTTTTTATGTATTTTATATTTGAAATTTTTTTTTGAACTTTTCCTTTTTCTATGTCTAAATATTATATATTAACACCTGTTTATTTATTTTGCATATATTTTATATTTTTTTATGAAGATTAAAAGGTAATATATTAATACTCGTTAGTCTGTTTAACAGCAAGTTGGTGACACAGTGAGTTTTAGACATTTTGCAAAGTTGTGAGTTTAAGAGAAATGTTGAAAACTCATAGTGAGTTTTAGACAATTCCCCAATAATTTATTATGTATGGGTTTAATTAATATAATTTAATGATGAGAAGAAATAAGAATGCCTTAAATATATGATTCAATGAAGGTGAATGCAAATTAATACCTTAAGTGTTGGATTTAATGAGAAGAAATTGAATGCATTGAATATCTTATAATTATCTCTTTTCAACTCATTTAATATTAACAATTGCTTACCCTTTTGCCCTCATTTTTTATCAATAAATTTAAATATGGAAGGGTAAATTTTGTCCTCAAAAAATTCCAAAAATTTTACTAAAGCTATTAGTACTTTTTAATATATATATATATATATATATATATATATATATATATATATATATATTATTAATGAGAAGAAATTGAATGCATTGAATATCTTATAATTATCTCTTTTCAACTCATTTAATATTAATAATTTCTTACACTTTTGCCCTCATTTTTTATCAATAAATTCAAATATGGAAGGGTAAATTTTGTCCTCACAAAATTCCAGAAATATTACTAAAGCTATTCGTACTTTTTAAAGTAGTGTATATATATATATAGTTAAATTGAAATGAATATATAAATAAAGTTAATGTATTTTGGAAATCATGTAAGCTCTGCCTATGCAGGTTTGAATCCTACCACCCACACTTATGAAAATTTTCTATAAAAAAAAGTTAATATATTTTATGCAATTTAATGGAGTAATGGAGACGAGAGGGAATTAGTGACATGAGTTACTGATGGAGAGAGTTAATAGCACAATTAATGAGGATAAATTATTAAAAGAGTTAATGGAAAAGGGGAGAGAGAGAGAGAGAGTTAATGATGTATTAATGAGGAGTGATGGAGGAAGATTTGGCCCGACCCTTTAGCCGTGCGACACGTGGAAGCAACAGAGTGTGACCTGGCAGGAGCACCAGCTCGGCGCAGCAGCATGCTCGTGATCCGAGGTGAGACCCGAGCTCCCCAAAGAGGAGCCCCGAGCTCCCTTAAAAGGAACCCACACTTCCTAGGAGGAAGAGCCCGAGCTTTCCCTTAGAGACCCCAAGCCTTACAAGGAGCACCGCAAAGGGCAAGAGCCCGAGCTGACCCACCTCGGGTCAGTTCG